TTCTCCCTGTGCCTGTGTGGGTTTCCTCCAGGCATTCTGGTTTCCTCCCACACTCCAAAGACATGCTGGTAGGTTAATTGGATCCTGTCTAAATTGGCCCTAGTATGTGTATGTATGAATGTGAGTTAGGGACCTTAGATTGTACACATCTTGAGGGTTAGGGGCTGATGTGAATGTACAATATATATGTAAAGCACTGCATATATTGATGGCACTATATAAGTACCTGGAATAAAATAAAAATTTAAAAAAACTATAGTGAATGCAGAGTCCTGGGTTTAGTAATACTTTAATGGGACTTAGGTTAGAGTAGACACTACACATAAAGTGCAGCATGGGTCTGTTGTCCATTGTAGGCTATATTGCTGAAACTAGGGACAGCTATGTTTATGTGCCATTTGCTTAAGCCAGCCAACCAGCCAGAGAATGGTGACTTGGCAAGGGTGACAGTTACTCTGGTGGTGAAGGGGTGTTATGCTTGGCCCCTTTACTAGCACCCGGCTCCCCAATTTTTGGGACTAGCACTGTGGCACAGAGAACCTATGAACCTAGCCTAGGTATAGAGTTCTCTGGAGTAGTACTGTACAAGCATCTAATTATAGGTTGGTGCAATGAGTTCCCCTGTATCCAGTAGCAACCTGCTAGCATGTCATTGGATGTGGGTATTGCTGTGTTGGTTGTGACTTGGACTTGCTCTGCGGTTCAGTTCCTAAATGCTGCACACCTGGGAGCCAGCGTCTCTAACTTGTGGTTAAAGTGTTAACCATGAAGTTAGTTAGCAGTGGGTTGCTAAGGGATGTAAGTGCTAGTTCTGTGCTCTTTGAACAGAGTGCAAGTTTTGCACAGCCTGGCCCTGCCCTCCCATAGAGCAAGGCATCCTGTAGGTAGGGTGTAGACTTGTGGTTATTCTGAATAGCTGCTTTGATGTAGAGCAAGGCATCAGGGAGAAAGTGGCTTAATGACCTCACACACATACACCGTGGGCGAGTAGGTGCCGCCAAAATCTTTGGCATAGTTAGTGTGAGTAGTAGTTCAGTCCCCATACATACACCTGGTGTTATAAACCAAGTCTTAAAATTAGATGAACTTGTGATATTGAGAAATTTTACGGTACCATAGGTGAAGCTTTAAAAGATTTTATATCTCATCAATTTAGCATTAACTGTAAGCTTTGGTGATAGAAATATTCTTTTAACTCTGATGTTTGCAGCAAAACATACATTTGCATACCCTTGGTGTGCATTTGCAGATGCATGCAGGGCACAAACCCCCATGTAGTAACATAGGGAAGGTGATAAGTACTCTTTATGGAGACATTGGTGAGTCTATTAGACCCTAATGTCTCCCCTGCCGTCCAAAGCATCTAACCAAGCAGAGATTTGCTTGAGCAGGAAGCTTGAGCACGTATTCAGCATTTTCATTTCCAATCTTGCCTTTTGGTCTTTCCTAATGTTGACAAGCCTTTATAAAAATCATGATGGCAATGACTGTCCATTTAAGGAAGATGAAGATCTTAATGCTCTGGTGTTAAACTCGTATGAAGATCCCAGCTCTGATCTGCACTAAAGACTAAAAGCAGTTCATAACTATGGTTAAAAGGGAAAATAATGGTCTCCATTATGACAGTAAATATGACTTGGAAGAGATCTCAGTAATATTTGGAACATGTGGTCTTCAATACTAGTTTAGTGGTTCTGTCTCTAGAATTGTGATCATAAAAGATAAATTATAGTTCTGAGGATTCCAAGGGTTCCAAAGAAATGTTGTCTGACACATCCATGCCTGTTCAGTTTATGTAGAATGGACATGGACTCTGCTGTCTGTTTACACCAATTAGCCTTTGATCTGATCCGCCTAAACAGAAAAGGATGGATCCCCTTCTGGTTTTCTTTTTTTTGGGGGAGACTGGATCAGATCTGAAAGTAGGCTGGGTAAATGGATGCAAGTCCATTTACACCTACCTATCCATAGAGGTGAATGGACCAATCAAATCAGGTCAGCCTAAAAAAACTGGCAGGCAGACCACATCAGAACCGCTGTGTGAAAAGGGCCTCAAAGTTTCCCCTTTCCTGTGGAATGGATACCAGGAAATCATAAGGGGTTTTCTATAGAAGAAATTGGAGGATGAGGTGATGCCTGCAATAGAATAAATGGACAGCTTTTTCTTTTCTGCAAAAGAGGTACATTATTGGTATATTGGTACACAAGGAATCAAACATTTAAAAAAAAAATAAAGCTCAGCTTAGCCTTTAAGTCATTCTTATTTAATTTTTTTAAGTCTACAATATTTAAAACATATTTTCTAACTTTACGCGAATGAACATTTAATACAGGCTGCACCCATGGCCAATAATTCTCAGAGCAATATGGATTTTCTAAAGAAAAAGCACAACAGAAGCTGGTCATAATCTGAAATTTGAGCTTTTGCTATTGAACTTTGTAAACAGATTTTTTTTTCAACAGAGCAGCTAAGAAAAGTAAAGTAAACATGTTAAAAATGATTTGAAGCTCCACCTACTGACTAGAAGTAAAAGTGCAAATGTTAGCCCCTTCCCACTGACCTTATGAATATATGCGGCCTCACAGAACTGGGCTTTATTTCTGTGGGGCATCATATATACATATCTGTTTTTCTGCTGGAAGTGCACCACACAAAGACCAGGCTGTCACCAGGAGCTACGGGTCCCATACTAACAATCGGTACCTGGGACTCCCGGTTCCAGGTCACCTGACCACTGTGATAGCCTCTGATCAGTCACTGTGTAGCCCCTGTGGTTTTTTTTCTTTCTGAATGGGAGAGAGACACATTGGGGTTTATTTACTAAAGCTGGTGTCAGGAATGGACTCAGCACTGGTGGTGGGACTCACCTGCCGTGTGGGCTGCAGTACCAGAGCTGACCAGCGGGTGCTCTCAGCAGCCAGAAGCTCACACCTGCAATCAGCCAAACCTGGGGCTGATTGCAGAAAGGTGTATTTAAGGCATGACCAGGCCTGTGATCTGGGCCTTGGTGTATGTTTTCCCATGAGCCTCTGTACCTGGTATCTTGTGTTCCTGCTTCGTTGCTGACCCGGCTTGATCCTGACCTCTGCTGACCGTCTCCTGTTGAACCCCTGGCTTGCCTGACCATCCTTCTGCCTGATCCCCTGTACCGCGCTGCCCGTGAGTTACTGAACCCGGCTTGTGACCTTGACCATTCTCTGCCTGCTCCTTTGGTACCTTGCTGCCCGCACATTGCTGACCTGGCCCGTCTGACCACGCTAACTACTCTGCCATTCATCCATCCTGCACGGATCCAGCCGTCCCTGCTCACACCTTCTGCCTCTTCACATCAGGCTTTCTACCTGCACATACCTCTGGCGGATCCCTCTACCACTAGCAGGTGTACTCAGGGGCCGCGACCTGGTTCCTGTCTGCTCCAAGTCCATCCCCACCATCAGGGGCCCTGGTGAATAAGCAGACTGGGACTTAGACTCCGCGCCCTGGGGAATCCTGTCCTGAGGACCACTAGAGGTACCACCAAACGGTCATTACAGAACCCTACGGCCAGCCTGACCGTTCCACCTCTCCAGCCCTGACTACGCCTGTGTTCCTGCACCTACTAAGATTAGTGGAAGGTTGGTTTGTTCACTGTGCGTTTATATATATATCTGGGTGGCTAATAATAAACTGTATTATTATACTATACCTGAAACCTGCGTTTCCCTGTGTCAGTCCACACCTTTCTGGTCATTCCTAGATTCCTGACAGCTGGAGAGTCCAAAATCAGACTCCCTTCTGCATAGAAACCAATCAGCTTCTAACCTCAGCTTGTTCAATGAAGCTTTGCAAATGAAACCTGGAAGCTGATTGGTTTCTATGCAGAAGGGAGTCTGATTTTGGACTCTCCAGCTTTAGTAAATAAACCCCATTGTATCTTTTTCTCATTGCAGATAGAAAGTAAACAAATGTGCTTAAAAAAATACTAATAATAGTAATAATAATAAAAAATAAAATAAAAAACAAAGAACAAGAATTATGTAATGGCAAGTAAAGTCCTGAGGGTTTGCAAATGGCCAGACTGCATTTGCAGAGAAACAGCCTGTTGTTATAGAAATTGAAATAAAAAACAAACAAACTTTGCACTCTATAGCTATGCAGAGACATTAATCTGAATTATAAATTGACTAGCATGTATTTTAATGTCCTTCATGTACCCATCAATTAGCAATCAAACCACCCTGCATTGGACAGTATATACAGTATTTTTAATTGGTGAGTAAAACATAAATTTACTTTTTTTTTCTAAAATGTGACTTGTCCAGTCAGTGAGTGATTTGTGATATAGGTTGATCTGGAAATGTATGTTTTGGCATACTCTTTTCAACAGTTTTGTGAGATCCTTTATTAGATGAGTTAAGAATTTGCACTCTGTTAGCAAACAAAAGCCATGTGATTTTTTTATTTTTAAGCAAATTTTATCTAAGCTGGTCACATGATGAAATATGAAGCTCATTTTCACAAAATTTTAGCCAAGGAAAAAATGTTAATTTCAAGGCAAAATAAATTTCAGTTCATCCCACTTATGTTTACTCTTTATTTTGAAATAACCTTGTCTGTGAAATGTTCACCTGTCCTGATTATTTTTCTTTTAATTGTTTCCAAGAGCTAATGTAGTTCATTGTCCTGCAATAATGGTTGGATTATCTTGTGTTTATAGATAGATTTGGGAACCAGTATGTGGGTAATTTGTTCTATATCCTGAGAATGGCTCAAGTTCACCACTTAAGTAATTTTAAGTGTATATAAACCCTAACTTCTCTTACATTGTTCCTTTTAGTCTGTTAAAGTGTCACTAAACCCAGGACCCTGCATTCACTATATCTGGTCTCCCACAGTACACATGGAAGTGCAATCATTTTACTAAATATAAACTGCTAAATACCTTTTCTCATCAGCAGCTGGAGTAGTCTTGTGACTTCTATCAGAGCACTGGTTAAAGCTTGTAGGAAGAGTTGTCTTTCTGCTCTAGGAGGATGCAGAACCCCTCACCCTCTGTCTGGATAGTGCTGATTGACCCTGTGCTGATCACATGCACTCTCCCAAGAAAAGAAAAGAAACTCTCTAGCGATACACACCAAATTGAGCATGTGCAGCTTGGCCCGAGCCTCTGTTCTATCAGGATATATTTAGGAGACACTGGAAAAGGGGAGAATCAGAGAAGAGAGGATCAAACATCTTTTTTTACACAATGTGGAGGTGTCAGGAATGGACTTGCCAGTAGTGGTGGGTCTCACCTGCCTTGTGGGCTGCAGTACCAGGGCTGGCCAGCGGGTGCTCCCAGCAATCAGAGACTCAACCTAGCAGCCAGCCAAACACCTGAAAATGCTTATGCAGGTGTATTTAAGTGATGGCCAGACCTGCAGTCTTTGCCTTGGTGTGTGTGTGTTTTTCCTGGGCCCTGTATCTTGTAAACCTGCGTTCCTGTTCCTGTTCCTGTCTTGTTACTGACCCTGCTTGATCCTGACCTCTGCTGACTTCTCCTGTTCTGATCCCTGGCTTGTGACCCTGACCATTCTCTCCGCCTGCTCCTCCTGTACCTACCTGCCCGATAGTTATCGACCCGGCCTGCCTGATCACGTTGTGCTCTTTGTGTATGTACCTGTGTATCTGTATCAGTTTAGGTTTGGGTTTGTTTCACCTTGTTGTATGTATTTGTGTTAGCTTGGGGTTTGGTGCACTGCGTTTATGTTTGTATTGTTAGTCTTTAATAAATTATATTGTTTATAACATATCTGAAGTCTGCGTTTCCCTGCGTCAGTCACATACCTCTGGTCACACCCCGGAGCCCTGACAGGAGGATTAACCTCTTAGATTCCACAGTGAGTATAACAAGCATGCTTTACCGCATATACAGACAGATTTTACTGTTGTGGGTTTAAAAGTTTAAAAACACCTTCCTGTGCTGCACTGTTATCAGTTACATTGTTTCCATCTCTCTCTGAAGACTACAGAATCCCTCTGTTCTATGTTATGGAGAATAAGGGAAGGGCTTTTGTAGTCTTGCTTGATATTTTTACCCCTAGCTAGGAAGTGTGTTACTGGCAGGATCAACAGCTGAAAATAAAAAAAAAAAAAAACCTGTAAAACGAATATGAATGCAGTCACTACATCTAAGGACCGGTAAGCTGAAATATACAGTATAATGTTCAAATATTGAGTTTAGATTTTAACAGCAATGTATAGTGGTTTTCTACACGCTTCCCTTCCTGTTAGAGTCAGGACTTAACAAAAAAGACAATTGTAAAGAAAAAATATGATAAATGTGATTATTTTGTATTCTATTCAACAAGATGATCAAGCTATCAGTCTTTTTAAGTTTTTCAGTATGTATATATATATATATATATATATATATATATATATATATATATTTTTTTTTTTTTTTTTTTTTAACCAGCTGATTACAGAGCTCAGTAGCTTAAGCTCAAATTTACACACATGAATGAATGAGTCAGAATGATCATCATTGGATGGTTGCCATATAGTTTAAGCATTACATGAAAGGGAACAATTTCTGCAGTGGTCTCTTTAGATAGCCCATAGTCTTCTAAGTATGTAAAAAAAAATAGATATAGAATGTATATTCTTGTGAAAACAGATATAAAGCATTTTACCAGAATGGTAATCAGATGGATGATCAGACAGACAGTTACTGTAACATGGAGTTTACTAACAGGTACAAGTGTACAGCAATAATACAAAACTGGTTCAGGATGGCAAAAGCATACATACACTACAGAATAATGAAAACAGTTTGTTGATGGCAAAGACCATGCATACACTGCAGAGTCTGATTATGGAAGCCGCACAATATGGGCTCACTAATGTATTTGTAGCTCAATCAGGGGAATATGTGGCTGCATAGCATAGTTACTATAAGACTCTACAGCAACAGACAGTCTGTTTGATTTAGCTGAGAATCACTACTTTCAGTGAAGTCCAGGGTAGCTCTGGTAACACATGAAAACAGCTGGAGGCAATCCAGGCCTGAGGACTCAGGGAGGACACCCCATTGGAACTTGAATAGATTGGTAGCAATTGGGATTGATGTCCCCACAGTAGCTGGGACTTCTGAAGAAGCTGTGTGCTATTAGACTCCAGCCCGGCTGCCACCTGGCTACAGATCACTTGCCCAGTAAGTGCCTGCTGCATCAAGTGTGACCTCTCTGAGCAGCCCATTTCTGCGAACCCAGGGAGCTGTGGAAATTGGAGTTAAAGGGGCCTGTACCTGCATCTGAGCATATTGAGTAAGGCTAGGTTCACATATGTACAAGTGGTGCTGCTGCGGATCCGCACGAAAAATCCACGCAGCCGCACCACCAGCACAGAGGAATGTGGACCCGCAGGTGGGTGCCATTAGTTCTAATGGCATGCCGCCCGCACTGGAAAATGCAATCGTACTGGGAACTGAGGTTCCCGTACGGGCTGCATTTTCAGAAAAAGTACAGGGATTTCTTCACTGCGTGTCACGGGGCACGGGAGTCCATTCAAATGAATGGGCTCTCGTGCCCGTGCAAAACGCGGCCCGCACGGCCGCATATATGTGAACCAGGGGTAAATGGGCACTCGGCTACAAGCATATTTTTTAAAACCTAATGTAGTATCCCTTTAAAAGCATTGTTCACCTTTACCAAAAAACTACAGATAAAGGATGTCTTCCCAGAAGTGAGCTCCTTCCCTGATTCAGTCCCCCTCACATGTACTTTCTCTCCCCTGATGCAGTAGTTCTGAGTTCAGCGTTTGAGCCTCGGTTCACACTTGTGTGGTGCAGCATACCGCATGTGATTCACACAGGAACCGCACCTCATTCCTGTGCAAATCACATGCGATTTCTATGCAGTGCGATTTGAGCCATACATTTTGTATGACTGAAATCGCACCACATTCGCACCAAAAAGGTGCAGGACCCTTTTTTTGGTCCACACTAGAATCGGATCGCATGGGTGTTTACACCCATGCGATCCGATTCTGCACATCGCACCATGTTTTGCAAACTGATTTTGGGGTGTCGTTAACATAAAATACACACCGCAATGGTTCATGTGAACAGGGTGTGATTATTATGCCGTGCGGAAATCGCACAGAAACCATGCAAATTGCGCACCACGTCAGTGTAAACCCAGGCTGAAAACTGACTCCTGTGGTGGTAAACACTAGCCTTCTCCTAGCAACACCCTTAGCAACGTCCTAGAAGTATTCTTGTCATGCTTCATGAGGTGCGTAAATGGCCTACACCTATAGCAAGGGCATTATTTAACTTTGGTCAAAGCTGCATAGACAGTTTTTGGTAAAAATGAACTGTTTAATCTTTCCCAGAATAAGGCTGAATCGCTAAGCTGAACAGCATTCTCTTTTGTGTAACAGCATTTCAATTACCTTTGCCTACTGTGTCTTTTACAAGGCTGTAGTTTTATGAAATCTATAATTGTGACATCTGGTGTTTAACATTAACAAATATATAAACTTTGGAGGAAGTTAGAGCAGGTCTCTCTCCGCAATATGTTACACTGTAACCTGCCAGACAGGCTCATTTACATTTCCTTTTTTTTTTAGAAGAAGAAGAAAGCAAACAATTTTAAGGCACAATTATACTTTTTACAAAAACATTACATTAGTAAAAATAAGTTGAAAACACCCCCAAAAGAGGTCTTCGTGAAAAATATCAGAACAGCAAAAAAATATGCACTGGTCCACAATGTTAGGATGATGCTGAGGATAACAGAAAATATTACTAATGACTGTCAGGTACAGAGTGTTAGGGGTGTAAATGCATAGAAATATATTATATTATAGCACACCTCCACCTATAAAGATCTTGAACTTCACAGTTCCACATATCATTTGCTATTGGTCACCTTGTTCCAGTGCATCAAGACTGACATCTGGTGGTCATATTCAATATAAAAAATAACTTGAGAATACTAAAGCACTCTTCCTTGCAATGAAGGCCAAGTGCATTTTATAAAGCCATTATGTGCGCTGAGTCTGTGCTTTCCTTTACTCCTTTATTCATTTTGCAGAATGTTGTATAATCTTTCATTACAAAGTATATCATTAAATAAAAATCAGATTCCAAGTGCATTTGGCCTTTGTTATATTGTAAAATGGAACCATTAACTTTAAATTACATGATTTAAATAAAATAAAACTATGATTAACCTGTAGTGGGAGCAGATGAAGCTTATTCATGATACATAGTAATCGTTTGTTCACTGTATGCACATCTTTTCACCACGGTAAATCACTCATATGCCAGGTTTTACTAAAAATAGAGAAATAATATTTTTTCAATATTAAAATTACAGTTTGTATGTTAGAAGAAAGTCTTAAATGCTAAAAGTTTCATTCAGAAGATAGGCCCGTTTATAACCCCTAAAACCCACCCTGGGTCATACTTCTCTCACTTCAGACAAAAAAAAAATTGAACCAGGCACCGGTACTCAGTAAGACAGTTTTCATGCATGCACGTTTACAATGGTAAGCATGAGTAAAAACAAAGGTGTCCTTTTATGAAACAGAGATCAGCAACAATCCCAAGGATTGTTGCTGATCTCCGATCATTAGTGGTTTAGGAAACAGAGATGATCAGTGGAGAACATGTTCTCCGCTGATCATCTCAACACACAAATGGCCAGTATGTGAAGGAGCGATGTCAGCCCTTCACTGGTGATCTGTGTTCTCCCTCCAGATTCTCCAGCCCAGAGCTGGAGAATCGGAGGAACCGCAAACAAAGCAGCGGTAATGTACCACTGCTTAGTAAACTGTGTTTGACTGATCTCTTGCTGTAATCTAGGAAGATTATAGTAACAGCAGCCGTTTTCTAGCGTTCAAAGCGTTTGTAGATCGCTTCATTCAGATAAGTGATCTACACCGCTTCATAAAAAGGCATTCAGAGGAGAAATCTCTCCTCTGAGAATGCCAGAGAACTGAGCAGCGGTCATTTACCACTGCATGCATAAAAGGACACCAAAGTCACTTAAACCAGTGCTCAGCATGTTAATGTAGAATTCAGGAGCCATTCGGTCAAATCCTGGAGGTCACGACAGAAATAGGTCAATAAAACATAAAAGACACCTGTGCTAAGAGAGGTATTGGGGCAGTTAGACATTGCTGAGTGCCTTCTAACATGTCAAGTGGCTTGGCTGTGCCTGGCTTAAAGTATGATTAAAGGCAAAACTTTTTTTTTTCCAGATTTGAATAAAGTGATGAGGGATTAGAACCACTGTCCAATATTAGTGTGTCCCCATTAGGGATATTCACTATCTCCAATAATTGTCCAGATCCCAAGTGTCACCAAGAATTAAAGGAGAAGTCCAGCCAAAGCTCTTTTGACTCTACTTCTCCTGTGGGTAACAGGAGTACAGTTTGTTCTGCACTCCTGTGACCTGTTTTTAGCCGACAGTGGGCTAAAGTCTACTGTTTTCTGATGTCACTCATCCGATCCAGGCTGGGGAAAGATCCCGACTTTAAAGTTGGGATCCTCCCAGATGTCTGGACTAGCATCTGGCTCAGCCTCTCAGTGATCTGCTGAGAACCTGAGCCAGCTACTCCCTCCCCCCCCTTCACAGCCCAACACTCCTGTGAGTGCTTGGGGGGCAGAGCAAAGAGCGGTGACTGACAGTCACCACTCTCTGCTCAGAGTGGCTGTGAGAACTCAGCAATCAGCCTTAGAACCAGTCAGGAACAGATGCAGCATCAGACCGAGGCTACATCCACCTAGGTAAGTATGATTTAAAAAAAAATAAATAAATCCCATACTTCTCTTTTAAGTGAGGGTCCATCCAAAATTCTGAGGTGCCATCAGAATAAGAAAAGAGGGGACATTTTCCAATGGGGATACAACTTTCTGAGAAAGGATTTTTGTCATTTATTAGACAT